GGCAAGATGTTACGTAGGAATACGAACTTTTGAAAGACAAGCGTTTGGCACGCGTTGGGTTCATGAGAAGCTGCTCAGTCTCATCTTCCCCTTAGGAGAAGCTGTCCTCAGGGCAATCCTCTCTGTCATGTTGCTGGTTGGCCAAGCCCTCAGGCCGCAAAGCTGGGATCTCACTCAATCCTGAGATAAACATCTGCTTGCACCATTCGTTAGGCAGTGACACTGAGGCTCTGACATTTAATTCTCTGAGGAACATGTGGCTGAGCTTGGCGTGAAGCCAGCACCCCTGGGCTGGAAGGCAAATCCCTAGTGGCTGACCTAAATCCATTCCCTCTGATCTAGATGCACACCTTAACTCTTGCGCAGACAAGTCTCAGGCTATTGCTAACAACCAACATGACATGACAGCTGGCTGTGTCCCATTCTTGTAGTTTAGAGCAAGTTGGTAGAACAGAAGGAAGGGAAAAAGTCTAACACTGTGTCCCCAAGTCCATCCTGATGCAGCTGTCTGAGACTCAATATCTTCCCTGTGAGATGAGAAACTTTCTAGAAAGAGGCCTGAATTCATGCAGGCGCGCACCTAGAAGATGCTCCAAAGAACCAGGCAGTAAAACAGTTCAACAATGGAGCTTTACACTTCAGAGTCCCTGACGGCCTCGAGCCATTGATTTATAATCGAACTGCGGCACCAACACGCTCATAGTAACTCACACTATCAAGTTTCAAGAAGAAAGAAAAGGAAGGTGGAGGATTTTGAGAAGGTCTAGGGCACTGGCTCAAAGCAACATCACAGGAAAAGCCCGAGGGTGGAGGGGGTGACACAGGCTTATTCAGTTGAGAACAGACTGCCCTGTAAAGCTGGAAGCCCACGGCAGGCAAAGAAGGACAACGGTGAAGCGGTATCCGCAGAGTGAGTCTTGGGAAGACCTATGCGGCCAGTCGGGAAGTCTTCTCTGTGCATGAGAGTATCTCTGAGAAGGCAGTCAAATGGCCCCTTATCGAACAACGCTGGGGACTGATTGAAGTAGGTCCTGTAAGGGCAGAAGGACAGCCCACGACCAGGAATTGTTTGTTGCAGAATGCGGGCCAGCCGCCTGTGTGCCCTCTATACTTAACCTAAGGAAACGGGCCAAGAGCACTTTGTACCATCCAGCCTTTCCTCTCCTGGAGGAAACAGGTCCTGCGGCTTCAGCACTTTTGTAAGTTGAAACGTGGGACTCAGTAGACGAGGAGTAACACACAGCTAAAACTCACAGGACAAGCCCTCTTCCTTCCCTGCCCTGCAGGAGCGAAGTCCCACCCTTGGGGTAGCAGCGTTTTTATGAGGGATGTACTGGCCATCCTGGGGGCTTTACTGCTAACCTGAGCACAGCAAAACCCTGGGTTTTATTTCTAAGAGCGGACAAAGTGGCATTTCTGGAAACAGTGGTTGAAACTGGTCCCACACCAAGAACAAAAATAGGAGAAAGTGTGAAGAAACTGAGTTGTAAGGCTCTGAAGAAAATTACTACACTCTTTGCTCTAATTGTTTTACATGTGAAGCTTTTATTTTTAAACGATGGGTGGGCTGGCGGGTAAGCTGGTGGCAAGCCACTGATTGTGCAGATCTGGTCTGGAACTAGAGCTTAAGGACTGGGCTCCAGCCACAGTTACTGAGTAAAAATGATTAATGAAATAAAATAATAAATATCCCCAAGACTTTAAATTCATGTAGACTAAGGGCAAAGAAGACAGAATGAACTTGCGGAAAAATTAAAAACCGGAACACCGACTACCTCAAAAACCAAAAATGTGAACTTCATTAGTAATCAACATAAAAACGATACCTCATTAATTGGTGCCAGAATAGGGAAGAAGGATTTAAGGGATGACACGGCCAGCAAGGCACCGCGGATGAGGACTCCCACACGCTGCTGGTGGGAGGAGCCATTGCTACAACCTTTTTAAAAAGCGATTTGGAGATAGGTTTGAGAAGTCTTGGAAAGAAAATATCGTCTGTTTGGTAATTCTACTTCTAACAACACGCCCGAGAACAGTCATTCAGAAGAGGAAACTTTATGACAATGGTGTCTACTGTCTCTGAGAAACATCGAACTGTTCAAAGGTAGATATTGTGTAAGGAATATATTTTGTAGGTTTGAGAGATAAAATACGGGATGCCCACTTCAATTTGAATCTCAGAGAAACAACAATAACAAAAGACTCCAAACATTGCACTGGAAATACTTCACAGGCTGTACGTACAGCAGGAAAAAAACGCTATCTGCCTGCAGTTCAAATGGAACGGATTACCTTGTTTTTGATTTGCTAATTCAAGCTGTCATACCACAGTATTTTTCTGAAATGTTGTGCAAACCCCAGACATTATTAACTGTAAAATATATTTGATGAACTGCTCTTTGACCTTGGACTGAACATCCTCCCATGACAGCATTTCCCAAAGAACAGCCCTGAGGCCCCACGTTTAAATTCTTCATGCCCCCAGCGCATTAGCTGGGGATAGATAGAGGCACAGGAAGAATGGAGTGGAACCGAGCTCAGGACAGAAAACAGGACAACAGTGGACAGGAGGGACTAAGTACAGGTGAAACAGAGAGCAGGGAGAACGGAGGACGGGCAGAAAGGAAGACAGTGGCCATGGTAGTGGGGCTGTGGGCTTTCCAATCAGGCAAACGTAAGATGGTACAGAGGGGGGAGGGAGAGGGGGGGAGGGAGAGAGAGAGAAGGGGGAGAGAGAGGGAGAGAGGAAGAAGGAGGGAGAGGGAGAGGGAGGAAGAAGGAGGGAGAGAAATGGAGAGAGAGGAAGAAGGGGGAGAGGGAGAGGGAGGAAGAAGGAGGGAGGTATCAATATTCTCACATGTAAAGTGCTGTTTTAACATGTTTTCTGCAGAGCTGTTTGTGAATTAAACAGAAATATGGTTGCCAAAGTGACTCTCAGAGTGTCTAACATGTAAGTAAATAACAAGAGAGAGAGAGGGAGAGAGAGAGAGAGACTAGACAGAGCAGAAACAAGAGGATAGACTTGAAGCAGGGCCTCTGTCAGCCATCTGAAGACAAACGCATGGATCAGAAGAAAACGCCCAAAGTACTGATTCTTAATCTTGAGGAGCTGTGAGTGTGGGAGATGAAAGAATGGATTTAGCTATGTGATTTGAACACGAGGCATGAACTTGCATGTGGTGAGTCTGTCCGCTCTGGAGTTCCCGCTGCACATGTGCTGTGTCTGCTGTCTGGGATGCCTGGCACAGGAGAAATGTTAACACTTGTCTAAGTTCCAACAATTCCATGAGACGGTTGAGCAGCTCCAAACCACAGACGTACGGAAGCAGCAAAGGCACACAGTGAGCGCACTACAGCGGCAGAGGGCCGAGGCTGGGGTTGAAGAACGGCTAATTCCGAGGACTGAACTGAGGAGGGTGCCTGAGATCTCCGTGGGGTGTTGGGAAGAAGTTTAACTGACTTAAAAGAGGAAATCCCATTTAGATATTCAAATTTGTGATGTACCAATGAGGATGAACTTATGTCATAATCATGATTTAAACCATAAGAGAGGAGCTGGAGAGATGGCTCAGTGGTTAGGGGTGCCGTATGAGGACATAATTCGATTCCCAGCTCCCATGTCAGCTGGCTCACAATCACTTTTAACTCCAGCTCTAGGGGACCTTC